AGCAGGAACTGCAGGGTCTACTGCTGAATGTATTATAATCAGTTTTTGGAAGTGTCTGAGCTTAAAGCTTGCTCTTCTCAAGTACACATTAGTAAATCATTATCACTCAAATCACCTCTGAAAGCAAATGCAAATGTTCTGGTGAGTATGCCCGTATTCATAAAGCAGACCTCCTGAAAAGGAGGCTGCCCTCTGCTATAGACACAGGAGAACAAGAGCTGAAATTACAGTATTTTTTTATAATAGCTAAAATACAATTAATACATCTGATGTCCAGAGAATACCACAAAATATTTTTTTCCCATTCACTTTGTGTGAAAAGTAATTTACGGCATTTCAAAGCACCATCTAGAAACTGTACTCGGCAGTTAAGAACAGGAGAAAGAGAGCTAAAACCTGAACTTCACAGCTCCTATCAGTCCATAGAGTTATCTCCTTTCCTTTATGCAAACCTAAGGAATGATGCCAGCATTCAAGGGCAATATTTATCCATCACTTTTGAGTACGACCCCTCACGCTCACCCCCATTTGAAAAAGGAGCTGTATCTTTGGAACCTTTTGGACACAGTAGGAACTAGCATTTGTGGAAACAAAGACGCATGAGAAAAAGAAATAGAAAAATAAAAAGTAAGATATAAGTCTAGTCCAAGAGGGAAACTGAAGACTCCTTATGGAAGAGGGTCTATCCGAGCCTCTGCTAGCAAGAAAGACAAGTACCAGCACAGTCACTCCCAGAGTGGCTGTAGCAAAATGATGAAGCAACTCCCCCCTTCACTGTCTTGGGCAAATAGCTCAGCCCATTTCAGGCCCCCAAGGTAAACAGCAGAAAGCTCCAAGAAAGTTCCATTTTGCCCTGATCCATTTTATTCGGGTTTGCTGGGCAGAATTTACTTTTAATTTTAATATAGTAATTCTGTTCTCCTTGTTCCAGATTGCTCCTGATGCCAAAATTTTACTTTGGGAGCTTTCTTGACTAGAACGGTAAGCAACACAGACCTCCCACAGAGAATTGCGCATCTAAGACTCTGTATGTGCTTTTGGCAATGATGGCATATCCAGTAAGAAAATCCATCATCACCTTAATACAAAGCACCTCCAACCTAGCCCCCATGGAAATATCTATGACTTGTTGGGTTGTCTCCTCAATATTTATGAATGCAGCGATGTCCAGGAGAAGTTCGGACCAAGAAAGTGCAAGGCAACATTTTCCTACTGCCTCCTCCTGTTTTAAAGAGGCATGTACTACCCAATCGCATTTATACCCATGAACACACACACACACACACACACACACACACACACAAATATGTTTTTTCCTAAGGTGTCTATTGATAACAGGCAAACTTAGGGTTTTAAAGATCTGATGCAAACAGTGTAGAGTTTATGAAGAGCCTTCATAAACTTGCAAAGCAGTAACTGAGGCTCTTTTATTACTTCGCTGGACAACAAGTCTGCGCCAAGCAAATACCCACTTACGAAGCATTCTACCCTGTCCAGGGTTTTAACAGATGTGAACCAATACGTTCACTGCGTGACCTGGGAAAGGAGCAGAAAGAGCAGGAAGAAGCCTTCACTAAGGATAAAAGGTACTCTTTTATGCTTTCTAGAGTGAAAAAGGGGTATTAAAGCACAGCTCTAACAACAAAAAATTTGGAAGGCATTCACTGTGGTCTGCAGGAAATGGCATTTATGTATTATGCAGGACATACAGTCTCAAAATCTCTCTGGTTTAACTGTCTGTCAAACACTGGCTACCATGCGTCCATGCATTAGCTTTACTCATAGATGTCTCTTAACTCAGCTCATCAGGTAATTGAGACAATTAAGGCTTGATTAGCAAGCATGTAATTTTTATATTCTTTTTCCTTAAGATTAGCTTAAGAATTTCTCTTAAGATTTCAATGCTACTATTTTAAAAGCTAATTAGTTTTTTAAAATCCTGTTATTTATTATAACTAGCAAATGAGCACACTTATAAATGTCAAAGGGTCATTTTTGGCCTCACACAGTCATCAACGTCCTATAAATATTCATTATTGTAGGGGAAAAAATGTTTTTATGAATATGTGAAAAGATTAAAAAGAATATAGGCTAAAACATAAGTAGATATTTTCACTATTTATTCCTTGTAATACCACAGTGCCTATGAGTTCTAATCACATACGAGGACGCCCTGGACAATTAGAATAAAAAGTTTCATTTCTGGGAAACACTGTGGAGCACAGCCTTTTACTATCGCAGTGGAAACAGTCTTTATAAAAACTCTTCAGCTCTAATACTGAAGCTTGGATAGAAACCACTCTTGGAAGGACTTATACGTGGAGTAAAATTCTGTGTCATAAAGACGAACAAAGTGAGAGCAACGCTATTCAGAAAGTAAAGCTTTCAGGAGAAGTCCCGTCAGCAAGGGTAAGGCTTTCCTTTCTGGCAGCCAGGCACCAAAGGTATCTAGGAGCATATTAATGAAATACTCTGCTAAAGCTGAGGTGCATCATCAGTGCAGAGCAAGACAGGAACTTCTTACAGAAAGAGTTAGCCGACATGAGTAACAGAAACAAGATGTACTTCAGCAGTACAAAAAAAACACAGGGAACAATTGAAGCTGGAGCTCTAAGCAGGGAGTTAGCAGCTAGAAGTGAACAAGGAGGCTGTAAGGATGACAGCTGCTCCTGGCACCATTACAAACTGCCAGTGGGATGCAAGCAGAAGGTAGTAAATAGGATCCTCGTTTGCGTGCAGAGCAGTGCCCCTGCAGAAAGAGGTAAGTATTAATGGCACTACCCTGAGGAGCGGTCCCAGGAGTCCTGCAGGATACTGGCCCTCAGCGTGCAAAACGATGATTGCAGCCTGGAGAAGACTGAGGGAGAAGCTACTTAAACTTCCAGAGTCTGTTTACTTTCGTGTTTTACAAGAAGGGGGAGATTGCAGGCTGCCATTCAGAAGAGTACTCCTCATGAAGGAAATAATATTCTGCAAATAGCCTTCAGAGCAAAGCAGTGGGAGGGTGAAAACACTGCCTAGCCTCAAAATAGAAACAGGTAACTACATTAAATGGGATGAAATTAGATGCACGTCTGCAAATAACAGAGGACCAGGCATAGTGACCTTGTCTCTTCCCCTCCAGTGTTCCTATGTGATGTTTTCCTAGCCTATTTCTATCATGTACACTGCTACAATTATAAGAAACAGCAATAAACCTTAACTACATTAGATATCAAAACATCCTTTAAGGGATTTTCATCTTAACAACAATCTTTTAAATATCATCTAAATGTAGAACTACAGTGAAGTCACAGAAGCGTTAAGTCACAGAAGTCACAGAATCTGGATGGCAATAAGAGAAAAGGCTGAGTGGTTCAGTGAGCACAAACGGGGGGTTCACACTACTTCTTTTGATGAAAGGGCTGGAGGGCATCAACTGAAAGCAGCCTGATCAAAAAAAAAAAAAAAACCCCAAAGTGCTTCCTTTCACAAAGTGCTAGTCTCACTCTTACACTCTTCCCCAGGCATTCCCACTTAGCCACCATCGGAGGCAGGATACTTGGCTAACTGAACTACTGCTCGGATGCAGGGACACTGCTCTTAGAGCACGTTCAACCAGCCCAGAGCACAGTACAGGCTCATTTTCTCCCATATTAGAAGGGATTTCAGTTTGACTTGAGGCTCAGGCAGTAGCAGTTTTTGGGTTGCAATTCAGCAGGTTTTTTTTCTTTTGCGGAGCTCGGCAGAGGTACTATGGTTTTCTTGCATTTTACCTACTCCCTACTTCTTCCCACAGGTTCTCTTCTCAAATTAAAACAATCTTTTCTGCTTTCATTCCTATAAAGTCAGCTTAAACCTTGCCCTAATCACCTGTTGTGCGTTTTTAGGGTTCCAAAGGGGAGAGAGAAAAAACACTAGCAGCTATACAGAATTACTGAAGAGAAAATAAAAAGACAAAATTCAAGCAAACAATGCACGCACGCACACCACACACACGAAAAACTCACCGCATTTCATCATTCCCACTTCATAGCACTTCCGTAGCCGGCATGCCTGGCAGCTTTTGCGCCTGTTTTTATCTATTGTGCATTGATTGGTAGCTGGGCAGATGTAATCGTTATGTCCTGCAGCAGGGTATAAGAGAGAAAATTTAAAATCTCCAACAGTCTCTCTTGGTCATTTCCAGAATCAGAATCTTCCTGATTTGAAGCACTTCAACTTTTACATATTTGTATGTCTAAGCTCTATTAGAGTAAATGACGCAAAAATTCATATTTATCCTGAACTGAAAACGTTAGTCTTTGACCTCAAAAAGTACCTGGGCAACATAGACCACCTTTCTCTGATGATTGCTAGATAACTGAACATCTTCTATTGGTAAGTCATTTTTGAAAATGGGACATACGCTCTTGTGGAAGTCTACCCCTAATCCCCAACTTTTTACTGTATATTGGGATACTACAGACAGGAAATGGTAGATTTTGTCCCCCAAACAGTTCAAAATAGCACTATACAAAGTCTCAGTCCTGCAAAGATTTGCGTAAACTACAGCTGTATTTACTGAACTGTCTTTCTGATGTGGTGAGTTCCAGAAATGAAGAAGCCTTTCGAGGACTGACCCTGCACTAAAGTTAGCAACGAAAATACAGCCCCAGAGACAAAGACGACAAATATAAATTAATGCATACTGCATAATGTGAAAAAAGCACAAGCAGAAGATATGATTTTTAGATATTCTGGACAAAAGTTTCTCTTATTTACACCAGTTTCTACTAAAGTCTCTTTCTGTTGTCTTCCCTTTCCCTCCGATTCTCCCCCAAAAAAACCTTTAAATTATTGTCTTTGATTAACCAATAATCTGATCAAAGAGCTTATTACAGCAAACTAGACTTGACTATGCTCTCAAGCAAATTCACCTCCCGCCAAAGACTGGAAGTTTCTCTTGCAGTAGTTACCTAAGGATACAAAAATATTCACTCGTTTACATTTCCTAATCTCTCTTCTGTCAGGTTGTTTTTCTAAGTTATTTTCTCAAACTTTTTTTAAGAATAGATCAGACAAAGATACAGCAGTCTATGAGTAGGTTGTTTTTTCTTGATTCATGAGCAAGTCCAAGAGTTCATTTCCCCAAGAGTGATTATTTAACTGAACCATTGTGACTATTTCCTTGCAAAATTAAAATAATTTTAACCTTGAATTTTTGAACCTACAGTGTTTTAAAAAGAAGAGATCAGGTTACAGTTTGTCCCATTTCCTACTGGCAGATACAACTGAAAAACAAATTACTATTTATCACTCTTCACACAACTTAGGGGGAAAGGAGGAGGGAGCTCTCTGTTGCACTATAACCTAAGCACACAAGAGCATCAAGTGGCTTAAAACGCCTGCGGCCTTGGGATAATTTACTTTGCAGGCAGATGTTCAGAGACGTGGGACCAACACAGTACACTACAAACTTGGACAAGCAGAGGAGACCACACACAGTTGCCCAGTCATACCACCTAATTCTGTCCAATTTCCACAGCCCAAAATGTCAGAAGTTTTTGACTTTTTTAAGCAACATCTTTAATAACAGCAGTTGCAAGCGAGTGCCTGATAACGCCTTATGGCTTGAACTTACTTTCGTTTATTTGAATTACAAACAAATGTTATCTGACAGGCTGCATTAAGGTGTTCAAAAGGCTACAATGGGTAACTTGTTTATGGCCAAATCACTTGTGAGCAATGCCTAGCAGGGAAATAATTTTCCTGACAGAAAACACTTTCAGATCAAATTCAGTCTCCATTTGTGACAAAGCGGAGCCAAAGTTCTCTTCAATCATTTTAGGACCAAAGGGACTTACATTAGTTTCAAGAAATTGTTATTTGGCCACGCTGAACTTACACAATACACTGAAAACGCAAACAAGTTCTGAATAAAGTTTGATTCTAATGGTTGACATCGACTCTGTCGCATTGAGCCAAGAGAAAACGCTTCAAAATAAGTAAGGGCCTGAGCACAGAAGAGGAAGAGAACGCTATAGACGGTGAAATGACAGGAGTTCCTGCAGACCCTACACCCGCAGTCAGTATCTAACCTGAATGCAATTAAATTCCCACTAACAGGCCTCAGACCGGGCCAAAGTACGATAACCCAAGCCAATGCTAAAGACATGAAGTGGTCCACAGCTCCAGTCTGGCGTACAAGCCACTGCTTCAGCCTGTTGTAGACTGTGACAGTAACCATGGAGACCTAGACTACATCCTGCAGCCACTCAGCAAATTTGAACTGGATACCAAATATTTGAGAATTTAAACACTGAGGTGCAAATCTTAGACAGAGACAGACTGGCAGAACAAGAACTACTGCAAAACACTGAGGTGCAAATCTTAGACAGACAGACTGGCAGAGCAAGAACTACTGCGATGTAGGGTGTGGAAGTAAATAAACAAATAAATGGGATTGCACCTAGTACTTTGTATGGATATTTTTATATCCTACATGCTACGTATGTACGTATCATACATACTCTGTAGGTATCATATACTATGACTCAACAGCTCCAAGCAATATATTCCCCGTAGGACTAGTTCCTGGCAAGCAAAGTCTCGTGACAATTACTCCCTCTGGCCGTGTCTGTTACAACAAATCCACAATTAGTATGTCTACTTTGGGACTCAAACTGCAGTTTCACGGGGCTGCAGGGGCATCCCTTTGTGATGCCTTTGTGGAAGCGCTCTCACGTGCTATGCCTTCCACCTCTTCTCAAAAGAAATCAGTTGCTCATTTTGTAATGTTTCCAAATCTTAATAACATAAGAGCCAACAGATAAAAGTAGTCAAATCGTTTGTTGCCCTATTTTCAGCATGCAGCGTGATACACCAGGACTTTAAAAGATCAGCTCATTACTAGATCAACTGCTGCAGCACCTGACCACATGAATAAAAATTTATTTGAGCAAAGGTATCAAAAGCCGTTTTTCCTACCTTGAATACTTCTTTTAAAGAATGCTTTGCAGCCTTCACATGACCAGACCCCATAATGATATCCTGAAGCATAGTCACTGCAGACTGCACAGAAGTGGGCATCCCTTTTTGAGGCAGGATTATTTGCAATGGGGCTTGTGCAATCATTGCCATTAGTTTTTCTTTTTAACGTCTCTCTGATAGAAAAGAAAAAATCTGTTATAAATCTGTAAAAAATAAATCTAGCTATATTGCAAAGGGTTTCTTATTTTTCACTGTCTTCAATTCTCTCTCTTTAGAGCCTTGCTACTACTGAAGACCATGTAGTGTGAAACAGTGTTAAGTGTTTTTCTGGTAAGGTGATTTAAAGCACACGTGCTGATCCCAGAGCTTTTGATGATGGCTGACTTGAAAGTTCAAAACAACCACAAGCATAAAACTTTACTGTTGGTGTGACATTCACGTGAACTCTGGAAAAAATCAGATAGAACATGATGAAACTTGAAGAATTCTTAGAAACGTGTAAGTCCAGGAATTTGTGAACTGGACTGTTAATGACTGGACTTTGCCTTTGGAAAGCTTAACACAGAAAGTGCAAAATTGTCAGGCAGCTTGGACTGACATGGTAAATACCACCGCGAACAAAACTTCAGCTGCTTCACACTGTGAGCTACTAGCAAGGGACAACCCTAGCTGGAGCAACACACATCCCAGCTCCAGTATTTCACCCTTTAAACAAGGCTCAGTTCACTGAGATGCTGGAGACAAATACCTTGAGAAGTGAATATGAGACCTGCAAGATCAACTCACAATGCTAGACAAGGTTTTCTGTTCTAGGCGAACCCACATTGATCACCCTAACGATGGAAGTGTTAAATAAAAGGAAGTCTGACTATAAGAAGAATGGAGAAACACAATTAATAAAATGTATTTTGTAAATACATTTTATTGCTCAATATAAATTAATAAAATATATCCATTCCTGAAGTGCTCCAACTAATACTAATGCCAATTCTTAGTGACCGAAGTAAAATTAGAACAGGATAAAAACATGAAATAACAGCCTATTCCTGACACCAAGATCCTGTAAACAAACAGTAAGAGGAAAGGAACTTAGATTGTCACAGATGTGGTTTTTAGGATATAGGAAACACATTCACTGTATACTTTTTCTCCAGATTTCACTCTCTTGGTGGTTTTAGCATGTCTTACCTTGTTAGTCAATACAATTTCTCACTAGAGAGAACACAACGTCGCACGCAAACTCTCAGTAGCAGTTTGTCAACAGCAAAGCTGCATAGTCAGCTTTTGGGTATAAACTTAGGCACAGAGGCAGAAGGAAGAAAGCACGGTTTTCCTCATGCTGTCTTCCAGCAAGGTTAAGGAAGAGAAGAAACATCAGTCGGGGAAAAACAGTAGATAGCACCACCCTTCGTGACTTGTAAAGAACAAGGGTACCTTTCCTGGGCAGAAGAAACCTGTCCACCAGTGAGAGCAAATTTAAAGAGAATGGTAGAAACACGCTGCGAGTGCTGTCAAGGAGATTTTAACTAGCATGTTAAAGCAGACTCTGTGTTGCTTTCACGAGGAGAGGGAGAGGACCAACACACCCATATCCCAACTGAAAACCATCAAGCCCCCAAAGAGTTCACAACTATTTCTGAGGAGAACGCACTCCAGTTTTCTGCTAGAAGATTCGCAAGGAAAAGCTAGTTCTCTGGGATTCTGATACAGGAATTTAAGGTATTTACTGTAGATTTAAGTTACAGTAAGTTTAAAAAAAAAAAAAAAACACGCGCACACTCATTTGTTCAGCTACTACAGGGAATATAGTCTTTCGCAGGGAATAAAGGTGTTTAAATGTTTAAGCAGCCCAGTATCTGATTATACACACACAGAGTTAAATGATTGCCAGATTTTGAGTCAGGAAGATATCTCCCTTTCTGGCACACTGGGAGGAGCAGCATAGGGCAACTCTCCCCTGTAATAAAAGGAGCGTGCCGCACACGGCTCATACTCTGCTACGGCGGGGAAGAAACAGCAGTGCTCTTCCTTCCTATGCTTCCCTGTCTCTGGGGGAAAGAACATAATTTGAGGTTTCACACTAGAAGTGCAGATATATTTTTTAAGCTCTACTTTGGAATCACGGTCCCACTGTGAGATGCAGAAGAGAATTAAAATCAGCTAGAGAGTGTTTCAGTCCCTGATTGATATGCTGCAGAGAGCTACATTTGTTCTCTCTGTTAAAGCACAGAAATGTCATGGCTGAAAATAAGAAAAAGCACATTCCATACCATCTCACTGATGAACGTTGCTTTTTACCTTCCAGTAGTGACAAATGCTTAAAAAAAACAAACCAAAACAAAAACCAAACCACCTGTTTCTTTCGCTATTTAAAAGTTTCGCAGCCACCATCCTGCGCACATGCAACCTACGTGACTTCCTCAGACTGCGGTAAACAACTTGCACACCGAGCGGCAATCTGGACCGCGCTCCTCCCGCGGGCTGAGCAGGCATCAAGTATGTTCAGCGCAACAGCCGCAGCATCGCAGCAGGAGTCTCGACGCCAATCATTTTGTTACCGTCGTCTTTGGTAAGGACAACAGAGCTGGGAAATAGCTTTAAGGTACACGTTCGTTGTCTTGAGGGCTTTCTGATCAGAGAGGTTGTCCCTACAAAGAGTAGCCCTGTATATGGTTAGAGGCCCCTTTCCTGCGCTTTTGGGCCTGGAGTACTCAAGCAGGCTCTGCAGAGGAACAAGCTGCCAGGTCCTCCAGAGGGACTGCCTGGGGGTAGCTGGCTGTCCGCCCAAAAAGCTCCTGGGCCGAAGGAAGCAGGCACGTGGGGGGTGTACCCTGGCTGCTACCGAGCCGCGTAGACGGTCAGAGATTTAGCACTTTACACCTCCCCGTACTCCTCTCTACTCTGTGATCACAGTTTCTATATACAGATTTTACGTTTCCATAAAAGAATTACAATTTTAGGGAAAGCAACAAGGCCGTGATTTCCTCCTGGTCAAAGGTGACAAATTGATTGCCTTAAAGGAGAGGGAACCTGCAAGGCCTATTTAGGTTATTCAATCTCTATTGTGTTTCTTAATTGCTTCTAGCTCTGCTGCTGTTCAACGCACATGCCACACTCGGAAAACTTAAGCGCAGACTGCTTCAGCTTTCTATTAAAAATGAAGAAGTGTGGCAAGGATTTGACCTAGCAGCTAGCAGGATTTGCTTACGGCACTTCTTGTGAGTCAGGTTTTTCAAAACCTAAACTATTGTAAATTATAAAAGGAAACCGGGGGGGGGGGGAATACTGAGAAAACAAAAGTCAGGAAGTGAAGAATTAACAGTTCAAATTTTATCACTTCTTAATACTCTTTCCTCCCTCCCACGCACCACTGGCTCACTGAGGGCCTGCAGATGATTCGGTCCCATACAAACGCAAGCTGCACAGTGACGAAGGCTGCGTCTGAGGAGCCCCCGCTCTCTGTGTTCGCCAGCGCAGCAAGTCACAGGAGAGTCTCACAGATTCAGGTCGCCTGCAGAAAAACGCAGCAACTCTTTTCCTCCCTCTCCCAGAATGCGTGCACGATGCTGGGCAACCAAAAAAAAAAAAAACCTCAACTGAACAACATTTTTCAGCCATTACCTTCCTGATTTTCCGAGAAATTCCCTCCAGCGTAATTTCCAGAAGTGTTAGCACCTCACAACTCTCAATATTTTCATCTCCACAGCACAGGTTCTCTTACAGACGTCAATTAGTATGCTAAAAATCATGTCATAGGTATCTCAAAATTAAGGGACATGGGCTGGCATCTCCATTTGATGATTAAGGAGTTACACAAATTAAGCTAAAACATCATCTCAAAAAGACTTCAAGATACGTTTGAGTGCTCTACAGAATGAGCACATCAAAAACATATATATAGCAGGATAATCCAAATAATTTTGCCTTCAGAGCAGAGTTTAAACAATGTACAAGATACTATCATTTAGGACACACTAAACAATAACACAAATGAACTTACTAAATAACTTCTGATTAAGCAAGCATTGCTGGCCTGTATATCCAAACCTTTATTTATATATTCTACCTGCAGTTACTGTCAGAAACACAAGGAAAATAATAGAAGGGAAGAACAATCAAGTCCCAGAACCATCGCTCTGGCAGCTTCATTAAGGTTTCTTAATACTTTCCGGAAAGTAATACATCTGTCCATTTGGAATCTAAACCTTTCGTTTCTCTAATTAAAAACCTTTTAGTTAGGAGATGAAGACAGAAACCAACTTCAGATTACATGCCAGACTACTCTTAAATAACTTACCCTGTCCAATTCCTTTTCCTTCCAAGTCATTGTAATATAAAAGCAGTGCTTGTGTCCCAGTAAAGTTTATGAGAATATTTCTACTGTCTTCAATAGATACCGGACTCAAAGATTGTGCTAAATTTGCATTATCAACAAATTATTAGCGCTTGGTGTAACCATGGAACTTTATAAATTCCTGTCTACTTTGACAGACAATATGATGCATTTTTCACTAAACTCTTGCAAAATAGCACAATGCTACATAATATTTTCATTTAACAAAGTTAAATAAATTTCTTCTGCACTCCTATAATGAATGCAATTTGTGAGGAAAGGGAATTTACATTCCTTATTTTAAGCTGATCTAAAAGGAGGTCCAAATTACACAGAAATCAGTTTTAGCAAACTGGACCACATACTTTTAGCTAATTTCAACGGAATTTTACACCTGAAATTAAACTCATTTCACAGTGACACTATTTCTTTATTTTTAAAGGTAAAACAATAACCTATGTAACAGATCTAACTATGTACTAATTTTTTTTTTTAAACTCATCATTCAAACAAAATCCCTTTTCTCGAACTATAACGCTCTGTTTAAAACTACTTACATCCTAAGTCTCTTGCATCCCCCACAACTGTTCCTTTAAGTTTCAATCCAAAGAACTCTTCCTTCAGGGTATAATCTATGAATCCGTGGTGTTACAGTCATAGTTCCCATGGCAATAAATACAACATTCATGACATTAATTTAAGACCTCACCAAAGTATAAAGCAGAAGAAAACACAGGGCTTTTTCCTTTACAGCCTTATTTCAGTCCAGAGATCCATAATAAGAGAATTACAACTCCTGCTTCTTGTGGTTCAAAGTTAAATTAAATGTCAGTTCTTAAAAATTCTGTACACAAAGGGAGTTACAATGCACTGTCCTGAGAAAACTGAACCACTGAAAAGGTCCAAAGAGGCAGCAGCACTGCAGTTACCTGCTGCTGAAAGATAAAGATGATTCATAAATTTAGATTCCTGTTTTCATTGATTTTTTCCCCTTTAAATTAAGTCATAATCAGCTACAAGGGCAATAGTCCATACGAATCCATACAAATGGCAGAAGGCTATTATTTATATCAACTCCAGAGCCACGGGCTTGGCTTCCCTTCCACACACGCGAGGAGCACGCCGCAGAGCGTCAGACGGGGCACTCCCGCTTTCAGGTTATGTCCAGGTGGACAGCTTAAAACATTAACCTCTAGCGGCTTTTCCAGACCTCTCTATGGTTTGAAACATTATCCAAGTGAGAAGAGTTTGCACGTTAGCCTTATTAATGTTGCATACTGCTCTGGCACACAACATCTGCTTTGAGGAAGCTTGTTGTAAAGCAGTGCTACCCAAATGGCTTCTCTCAATTCACACACCTACACCTAAAGTAGCTTTGCACTGCAGATCTGCCCGTTACTCTCACCTGACTCCAAAGGGAGCCTAGTCAAGTGGCCAGGCTGTAAGATTTGTGCATCCCGCAAGTCTGAGGCAGAGACTTAGATCTCACACCTCATCTGCGTGCAAACAACCTAAGGCCCATCCATTGCAGAAGGAATGTGGGTAGTTTCAAAAATAGCCCAAATCCTTTACGAACAATTGGACTAAACCTGTTTCCAAGATACACTATTATTTTTCACACTGACGGTGACTGCAGCAGTTAAGTAGAGTGTCCTATGAATAAACACACAATTGCTAAAAGAGGAACAGCACCTGCAAGATCGTGCTTTTATGCACAGATCAGCTGTTGAGCTCATGAATGGAGTACATCAGCTGCTACCGTACATGGTCCTTATGGTATGCAACAGGAGTGAACGTGCAGAATGGGAACGTGTTTTTGCAAATAGTTTCTTTACAGCTAAAAATTTTGCCCAGTGTATTTGCTGTTCACAACAACTTCATAAAGTCAGTCCAGAAGAGCAACGAGAAGGAACATCAGACTTGCAATAACAGCACTCTTTTGAACATGGTACATGCTGTCATGTGAATGGTAGAACTCAAAGAAAAGGTTTTTTTAAAATATTAAGTTCATGAAAAGCCTTCGTAACTATTAGATGCAGTAAAAAAAAAAAAAATCCAGATAAAATGGAATTTAAACAATGTTCCATGAAAAGGGACAAAAAATGATGAACCTTTACTTCTTTCACTCAAAGAACTTGGTTTGCCAGAGCAGGAAAATTCATTTTTATTACACAAACTAGTACCCAGAAGTCCTGAACTTTTACTTATACACAATAATCAATTTTCAAAGTGAAAACATTTATAGTGCTTAGTGTCAGTGTATAGTCCTCCATGGAGCCACTTGAAAAGAAATCCTATTTCAGAAGTTACAAACATTAAATCAGTTCTGTGTTTTGTTTTGTTTTTAGAGAGATCAATGCATGTAAGTCAAACGCAAAAAGAAAAGGCTTAAAAGAACTGAAGAAAATGTAATTAATTTGCAGTGAAGTTTTAAAGAAATGAGTAATTCTCACCTATTCACAGGTAGCACTGCTTCCACTGGTCTTGCTTCACGCCATGGGCTCTTTGGTTGCTCTGCGTACAGAAGCGATGACTGACAGTGCAGTGCCAGTGGGGAGAGATGGCCAGGAGCAGACCACAACACATTAGGGCTTGATGTTTGCCTCACAGATGCACTCTCTGAATCACCAAAATTGCTGGTAACGTTGTAATTCATCATAGCAGGACTGCAGAATGCCATTGCAGAATATTCATGTCTGTTTTCCATGTAAGACGAAGGGATATAAACTGGACTGTGTTCTACTGTCAGCACAGACTGATTACAGCTGTAGGGAACCGGAGAGCCAATACCAGCAGGTGAGCTTTTAATTTCTGTTTTATTGCATCCAATATCTTGAAGTGGCAGCAACTGAGAAAAATCCTTGTGAGAAGATGCACACAGGGACATTTTGAAGCAAGACTGAAGATTATTTGTTGTTTAAATGTTCATCCTGGGGTATTTAGGATACATAAAAAAAAGTTAAATTAAAAGATAATAATGCTCTGTCCTGAGTCTTTTCTGTAAGGAAAAAAAAATTAGTAAAACAAAATATAAAAATACTCTGTGAAAATAGATTTCATACAGAATGCACTTACACAGTCAGTGTTCAAATTTACTGCCTTTAAGAACAGAAAACTTTATTTTTGGGAAAGTTCTAATGATGTAAAGACCACGACACAGATTCTCTTAAAATAAATAAATAAGTACATAAATAAATAAATCCTGTGAAGCCTGAAACAAAGATGCAGGTGACAGCTTGGATCCTAAGCAAAATAGGTCTCTACAGCCACAGTAAAGTTCCTCTGTCCAAGAGGCAAAATTATCCTATGGTCCATAGTTGTAGAGTGAGTGTCCTAAGTTAATCATCACTGCAAAAATTCACCACCTCCTGCTCCCGTTGCAAGCATACTTCTTCAGCCTTACTTACTTCAGCCTTTATTAACACAGATGTGTAATAGGGGGTATTTTGAACACACACACACACACACACACACACGTCCACTTGTTCCAAAACAAGAACTCCACTGCGCATCCCTCTACACAGAGGAGGAAGAAAGATGCAATGGATGCCAGTAAGCAATGCAGCTTCATCACCGAGAGGCACTGGGATTCAGCACCTCTGAAGAGAGCCATGATAAAAGCAGAGGTCACAGATATGCAGCGGTTTCTGAAGCTGGCAACACAGAACTCTAACGATTCCATAAGGTCAGGAAGTTTTAGAGTTTCCTACCATTCTCCATTCTCATCCTAACTACTCTGCAGTCTTCCTCTTATCTAAATCAACAATGAAAAGAGATCTTAATTTACCCACAGTAAATACTTTCTGCCAGATTTAGGTAGATCCAAATTATTCAAAGGGGGAGGGAGGGGAGGACACCAAAACCATCCTAAGACATTTCCCCTGTCCCGGAGACATTACTTTACAGTGGCATTTAAAAAATTTCGCCTTCATTCTTCACTAGGTGTTTTATCTGAAATTCATTCCAACCTTGATGACAGACATGCATCTTCCTCATAACTTGCAACCCAAAACAACTAAAATATCGCTTGGTTTCCAACAAGTTCCAGCCCCCAGTACTGTTACTGCAGTGCATATTTGCATATAACAGAGAGAGAGAGAGAGAGAAAGAGAGAGAACGAGAGAGAGCAAGCAAGCTGGAACTTTCTTTAGATTCTGTTAATGAAACTGAGATATATGTAGAAATAACCAGGAACTCATTCAAATCATTTCAGGCACTTCAGAGCCAGCTGCTGTTTTTTCCTTTGTGGGAAACAGGAAAATGAGATAGCTCTGCATCTGCTTCTATCCAGCAATTGTTGCACTGGAAGCCTAGCACAGCCGAAGGAGGAGAAGCTGACCTCGCTTCTAACAGCATCTACACGCTTCATTTGCCCTAGCCACACGGTCTGCAGTCTCCTCTAAGAGAAACCAAGTATCATTCAATTTTCATCGCAAAAGCACTGAAAACTCTACATGTGTTTTCACTCCCATGTTATGCCATGGGTAGCCCAGTGTAATTTTTGAATATCAGATGATGGAACTAAGAAATGATCTTAAAGACTGTTTTCAGCAGTTACTACTCACAGGCCCAATGATCACACTGTATTCAAAGTGCATTTAAAGCTTCTGTGTAGGTATAAAAGTAGAGATTTCAGAGGCTGCACATATTCAAGGTATGCTTGGACACTGCAGTAGCACCTGGACTGTTTCCACCAGCTAAACCTACCAAGCACTGGCTGTGCTAACTGTGCCCCCTGCTCCCCTCGAAAGGGCGTACGAGGCAGAGTAGATCCAAATCCTCCTGGGAGAAGGACCTGAGCGGCGTTACAACATCATCTCTGCCATAATCAACTAGAGACGTTCTGCTAAAATGCTTTGATAGTTTCTCTAGCAAACAATTGATTATGTAGTTTCCCTGAGACCTTTGGAAAATATGTGCATATATGCTGTATGAGCAGCGAAAACACAGAGCTGTTACTACACAAACCCATGAACTGAAGTTAGCTGAGCTCTAAGTTATGCTTTTGCGGAGAGGTAATCCACTGGACTGGCATGCAGGATAACTGCTTTTTTAGCGGGCTATATTCTCTCCAAAGGAGGACACACATAGCATTTAGAAACATACACAGAAGTTAAGACAAGAAAGAATGAAGTTTGTTTTAGAGGGAGGATTTCATGTGAGTGCAAAAAGTGTCTACAGCCTTCTTCAAAAACAGACTGCTCATGACTCATTTACAAGAGAAGGGACTCCTCCTTCCAGGAGGTCAAAGGAAACTGCACTCATGGTCTTCAGCGGATTGCAATGTAGTACAAAAAAAAGCAGCACTGACTTAAGATAATTAACTTAGGTAGTAGGAACAATTTAACCATAGCAGACTATGGATCTACACAGGCTCATCTCAGCCCCATTCCTTCTACCCAAGACGGTTTAGGATGGGAAGCCCAGACCCTCACAAAGTGAAGTTGCAGAAATTAACCAGAATTGCTCGGAAGGGCCTCAAAACTGACTGCTGGACTATGGAATTGTATGTCTTGAAGAAGCAGTGCAGATCTAGGGAACCAGATTTCAAGATTTAGGGCTACAGAAACAGATAAACTCCACTAATATCGATACCTCAGAAAGAAGCAAGGCCACATGTAAGCGACGGATTGCAATTAAGAGTTGCAACAGGCTAATAATTTTTTCCCATGCCGGTATAACATCCTCCTACTTTAAGCACCATTCATTAAACTAAAGTGAACTCCTACCTGAAACGAACTCCTAAAACGAACAAAGGAGGAATCCATTATTATTAGAATACAGTCTTCTGGGAGACTGCAAATGTTTCAATCCACTGAAGTCAGTTTAGTTCAGGAAGACACTGAATGACTGAAATGCCATAATTAAGTAAATATTCCAAATTAAGTAAACATTTCATCTGATTCCTTGAGTAACACTTACCATTCACAAAGGTAAGACATTAAAGGCAGGGTTCACATCTGTATTGACTCCAATACACAGAGGACGACACCGGTATCCATGATGACGTAGGAACAAAATTGTGATTTTATCAGTGTTCTCCCTCAGAAAATTAGATTTCTGGTCTTTAAACAGCTCTACACATTGAACGCTTTGTATCTTGAGAGTCACCATCCAACACACACCAGATCAAGCACAACAGCTATTTAGATGTCATAGTCAAATAGATACACGGGTAAATAATTAAACCATCTGACCTACCTGAACAAACTCAGATAGATACACTTACATTCAAATGCTGGCTATTACCCATTCCCTGCACCAAGTATCTTTTAAAAAGCCTTGTAGGAAGTAATTAAGAGCCTGCTTGGAAATACAGTAAAATAGCTTCTCCTAGAAAAACGTAACATTCTGCAAAAAAAAAAAGAGTGGATTGACGGATGTTCTCAGTGACCCTCACGTCAACATGAACTACAACATGCTTAAAATTTTCTAGGGAAGTCACATAGTTTGAGCAAATAATTTTTTGCCATAGAGAATTAAGATGACCTTTTTCTCTGCTAGCTTTAAATTAAAGTGTAATCATTCTTCCTTCCATTTTAATAGAAGTGATTCAGCAAGCATACCTTCCAGTACCCCACAACCTAAGCACCTCAGTCATCCTGCAAAGCATTCTATTAATATTCTGCTAGGTTAAACTTTGTGCATCTCACTGCAACAATAAACTGAATCATTTTCTCAAAAACTGATCGTTAAAGGAAAGTCATTCCTGATGCTCAACACAGCACTTGTGCTTCAAGTTTTGTAAAGAACTTATTACTCATTAAACACAGCAATGTCAGATACTGCCAACAAAAGTCATATAAGTAAACAAGTTTATTATTACCTGAGAAGGAGTAGATGCAACAAGTAGAGGATAGATAGGGAAGCACAAGGAAAATAAAGCTTGTCTTTCCAGACCTCAGATGTTGTATCCATTCCTGCAAAATTAACAGCCTGTTCCCAATGAGATCAAAACAGCCTCTGAAGAAAACGCTGCAGATTAAAAGCACAGGGGCACAAATACTTGGAAACACTCAAGTGAAATGAGCACTCTCCTTGGCCTGTCATAACCCTTGTGTTACTGAGGACACTGACAACTTCTGGGTTCATTCTAAACGTTCACAAATATATTTCAGAGGTCTGGTGCATGAGACATATGTGGAGGCACTAACGGAACTGGGTTTGTTCTGTTAGGGGAATAGAAGACTGAAGGAGGGTCTAATTACAGTCTTCCACTGCCTAAAGGGGAGTTAAAAGGAGAAAAAGCCAGACTCTTTACAGAGCGGCACAAAGGACGAGAGATGGCAGTCACAAGTTGTAGCAAGAGAAATTTCAGTTGAATATAAGAAAAAATTCTCCACAGTGAGAGTGGTTAAGTACAGGTACAGGATGCCCAGGAAATCTTTGAAGTTTCAGTCTTCAGAGATATTAAAAACAAGGCCCTGAGCAACCTGACCTACCTTTCAGCAAGAGATTGGACTAACTGCCCTCCAAATATCCCTTGCCACCAGAAATGTTTTTATGGCTACGTTCATCCATTACTAGAGGCCTTCATAATGGGGGAAATTCCGCTTTACTTGTCCTGCAAGGGGTGAAGCATAACAAAGGATTATTAACTACAAGGAGACTGGCAACCTTGTCGACTTTGCTCACGAAAGGAAGAGGTGCGGGCCCTATCCAAAGACAATCAACATTTAACACTTCAAGGTACATGAAAACAACTGTCTTACATACTCTGCAATGGGATTAGATCACTAGAAGCTTAACTATATATAACTGGAAAAGATTTGCAGACCCCCATTCAAATTGGAGCTAAGACTCATTGTAGTAGTTCAGCCTTTTTTCAATTTGTAGACTCTTAAATGTTATCAGACCTTAGGACAGACTTAAGCTTTCTATGACTTGAGTTACTTATCCACCTTTCATGCGCTTAAAAATCCGTGCACCA